AAGTTGCACTTGGAACATGACTCCAAATAGAGAATTGTTCAAGGAGCTATGTGATCAAGATGGTGGATATGTGCTGCTAGGAAACTACAAATCTTGCAAAATTGCAGGTATTAGATATGTGAGATTCAAGCTCCATGATAAGTCAATAAGGTTATTGATTGAAGTCAGGTATGTACCTAACTTGAAGAGAAATTTAACTTCTCTTGGTGAATTCGACATAAAGGGATATGTTTTTCAAGGAGAGAAAAGTATTCTAAGAGTCGTGAAGGGATAGAAGGAAGTCTTGAGAGGCGTGAAGAAACAAGACTTGTATACCCTTGAGGCTAAGGTTGTAAGTCGTTCGACAAATATGCATCCACGAAACCTGTGTCGAAGACAAAATTATGACACACGAGATTGGGTCATGTCAGCAAAAGAGGCCTGGTCAAATTAGGGAAACTGAACCTGCTAGGAGTTGACAAAGTCGAAAAGTTGGAGTTTTATGAATCTTGTGTATTTGGTAAATTCTGTAGGGCGAAGTTTAACAAAGGCAAGCAAATAACACATGGATTCGCGGATTACATTCATGCTGATCTTTGGGGGCCTGCAAGGAATCCTTCACACTCAGGTGCAAGGTATTTTCTATCCACCGTTGATGACTATTCCAGAAAGCTATGGGTATTCATTCCGAAGACAAAGGATGAAACTTTTGAGAATTTCAAAAGTTGGAAGATTCTGGTCGAAACTCAAACTGGCAGAAAGGTTCTGAGGTTGAGAACTGACAGTGGTCTTGAATTCTGCAACGAAGCATTCGATAGTTACTATGTTGAGTCTGGGATTACAAGGCATAAGACTATAGCAGGTACTTCTCAACAAAATGGCTTAGTTGAGAAATTCTATTGAATAATCCTTAAAAGGGTTAGATGCATGTTGGTTATTGCTGAATTGAAGAAGGTGTTTTGGACGAAAGTTGTTTCGGCGACAGCTTACCTGATAAATAGATGTCCCTCGAATGCCTTGGGAATGAAGACACCTGAAGAAGTTTGATCGGGACATCCACCTAGTCTCGACAGATTGAGAGTATTTGGTTGTGTGACCTATGCTCATATTAGGCAAGACAAGGTCGAACCTAGAGCTCTGAAATTCATGTTCATGGGATATCCTAAAGGAGTTAAAGCCTATAGGCTATGATGCCTAAATCTAGGTCACATGAGGTGTGTCACTAGTCGAGATGTAGTTTTTAATTAAGCAGAGATGACTTTCAAGAAAACTGATGATGTTGATGAAGAGCTGGAACAGGGAGAGATTCCTGTTGAGGTGAAGCATGTTGATGCTGAATTGCGTACCCCAGATGAAGTTGAAGAAGACGCAGAAGATTTTGTCGAAGATGAGGAGACTGATAATGACTACCTGCTAGCAAGAGACAGGTCGAGGAGAGTCATCAAGCCACCTCAAAGACTTGGGTATGCAGATCTTATAACTTATGCCTTAATCTCTGCAAGTGAGGTTCTAGATGAAGAACCTAGAGACTATAAGAAAGTTTTGAGGAGTCGAAAGAAGACTGAATGCCTGAAGGTCATGGATGATGAGATGAAATCTCTTCATGATAACAACACCTGAGAACTGATCAATAAACCTGTTGGAGCTAGGTTAGTAAGTTGTAAATGGATTTTCAAAGTTAAATAAGGAATCGAAGGATTGGCGTCGAAGAGATACAAAACAAGATTGGTTGCTAGGGGGGTCACTTAAAAAGAAGGTGTCAACTTTAATGATGTGTTCTCTTTTGTTGTGAAGTACAAATCCATTTGAATGTTGCTTGCCACTGTGGCACAGTTCGACCTTGAACTGGAACAGATGGATGTGAAGACTGCGTTCTTGTATAGTGATTTAGATGAAATAATTCTGATGAGGCAACCTGAAGGGTATGTCGAAAGGGGGAAGGAAGATTATGTGTGCAAACTGAAGAGATCTTTATATGGACTGAAACAATCTCCTCGACAGTGGAATATGAGATTTGACAAGTTCATGAACGTATAAGTTTCATAAGAAGTCAGTTCGACCACCGTGTTTACTTCAGATTTCGACCGGTAATTCATTTGTTACTTTGTTACTATATGTGGATGATATTCTAATAACAAGCAACAATGTCGAAGATATAATGAGGGTGAAGGATGAACTTAATAAGGAGTTTGACATGAAAGATCTGAGAGCTACATCCAGGATTCTTGGGCTTAACATTCGAAGAAATAGAAAGTAGTCAAAATTATGCTTATCTCAAGAGGCATGCCTATGGAAGATTCTCAAAAAATTTGGTATGTCGAATTCAAAGCTTGTTGTGACTCCAACAAATCCCCAATTCAAGATGAGTATAGACCAGTGTCCCAATACTGATGTTGAAAGAACTTATATGAATAACATTCTATATGCTGATATAATGGGTTCTTTGATGTATGCTATGATCTATACTAGACCCGACATAACATATGCAGTAAGTCTTGTAAGCAGGTACATGGCGAATCCTGGAAAGGCTCACTAGCAAGCATTGAAGTGGATTCTAAGGTGCATAAATGAGTCTCTGAATGGAATCCTAATTTATGTTGGAACCTTGGGTGGAGATAGTAAAGCAGCAATCAAAGGATATGTCAACTCTGATTATGCAGGTTGTATGGATTCCAGAAAATCTATTTATGGATATGTGTTCATTATGTTTGGGATAATAATTAGTTGGAAAACAACACTTTAGAAGGTCATTGCCTTATCAACCACTGAAGTGAAATATATTGCCCTAAACTGAAGTTGTGAAGGAAGCATTGTGGCTTGAAGGTTTTGCAAATGAGTTAAAACTTCAAGGTCGAGTTGTCACTGTTAAATGTGATAGTCAAAGTGCAATACACCTGTAGAAGAATTCAGCCTATCATGAGCGAACCAAACACATTGATGTGAGGCTGCATTTCGTTAGAGGGGTAATCGAGTGTGGAGAAGTCCAAGTGCTGAAAGTTTCGACAAATCATAATGCTGCTGATACGATCACCAAGACGTTGCCTAGTTGCAAGTTTTTCCACTATATGCAGTTGATAAAGCTGCACGAAGAAAGCTAGTTTCTTGATGTTATAGAGTTAGATCTAAGGTGGAGATTTGTGAGATGTTGAATCGAACTCTAGTATGGTCGAAGGGTAGCTTCTGGTTCGAAAGGAATTAAGCATGAGGTCGAAGTATGTTGGCATGCTGCTGTCGGAGTAATACATGTTGTAGTCGAAATTTGTTCTAACACGCATTAGTCAATATTGCTATGGTTGTTAGCATGTTGAATTGAGTCTTGCTTGTAAGTCCATTTGCTTAAGTTAGCTTGTACCCTAAGTTAGCTTATCATGAGTAATTGTTAAAAAGTCCATTAGGTTAGTGTGCTAATTTTATTATAAATAGGATGTTAGTTTCTCAATCTTGGCATAAGGAAAAATAGGAAGATAAAATCTTAATTTCAAGAGAGAGAGGTTATTTTGTTATTCTTGTATACTTGTAATCTTGTTCAAAGAGTAAGGAAACAATAACATTTTATAACCAATCCTTATTGTTCCTTGTTGTTTTACCTTGTTATCTTTGTTAACCCTAATCCTTGTGTGTTTCTTGATCATAAAGAAACCGTTTATATTTTGTTTCAAGACATCTGATTCACAATAGTGTTAAATAATATTACCTGCATGTGAAAAATTACCTTAGTTGCCTAAACTTTTTGTATCAGTCTCTTAGGCAATCAATGTTTAACACTTTGAGCGTGTCTTTCTTTTATCTTTATATTTTATTTCTCTTTGAAATTAAGTCTTCACGTTTTTTCAACCTTTCATCTGATCTCGCTCGAGATTGTTTTAGAAATCTTCGAATTTTAAATACAACCGATATATATATATATATATATATATATATATATATATATATATATATATATATATATATATATATATATATATATATATATATATATATATATATATATATATATATATATATATATATATATATATATATATATATATATATATATATATATATATTACATGTGTTTTAAATATTGTATTATACCTTAAAATAAAATAATATGATGAGGAATACAGTTTCAAAATAGACATAGACTTGTTAGATGCTCATATTCGTATCGCATTAGTTTTCTTATTTAGGCTTCAATATAGTTTAAATTAGTTTTAAAATTAAAAATTATTTAATTCAAAAATAAAATCATATACAATTCAATTTGATACTAAAAAGTTTGATAAAATCTAATACTAATATAATTCATCGTGATTTATTTTGGGTAAGTTTTTAAATATTAAAATTAAAATAGTAAAATATTCTGTTTATTTTATTAATATTACGAAGAAACAATAAAATATTTATACAAAATATAACATATACTATATTTTTGGTAAAAAAGAAAACATAATCTATATTTAATATTAGAGATTAATAGCCATGTATATATATATATATATATATGTTATTAAAAGTTATATACAAAAGTCATATATATAATTATTAAAAGTTATATTCAAAAATTTTCATTTAGATTTAGAATTAATGAGATTATTCGAGTTAATTTATCGCATTATCAATTATTTTTTAAATAGTTAAAATAAAAGACAAATTTTCTCGAATATGCAAGGTTTTTAAATTATTTGATGCATTTTATTTGAATTCCTTGCATTTTAATTAAATAAATATTTAATTAATAATTTAATAATGGATTAGCAAGGTTATTATTGTAGTTTAATAAAAACAGGTAGGGTACATGAACCAATCATAAATATTATAAAGGTTAGTTTTTTTCCTGAAAATAATAAAATACTTAAAATGTGTTTTGTCAAAGGTTTTCAAAACCCTCACTTGCCGATGCTTCTTCTCAAAGCCGCGTTCTTTTTTCTTCTTTAGATTTTGAAGAACCCTAATCCCAAACCATACATCACAAAGTTTTGTTTTTTCTTCTTTTTCTTCTTGTTTTCTCTTCTGGGTACCCTTTGTTTTTCGCTCAAATGGTCCCTGTTTCCAGAACCGATGGTGCCACTGGTACCCACTTGCTGTCTGCTAAAGTTCGTAAAACTATTCAATCCATTAAAGAAATCGTCGGGAATCATTCTGAGGCTGATATCTATGTTGCCCTTAAAGAGACTAACATGGATCCTAATGAAACTACTCAGAAATTGCTTAACCAAGGTTGGTTTTTTTGTAGGGTCACAATGTTTTTCTGTTGAACCCTACTTTTATTTTGTGTTTGTTGTAAACTATGGTTTATTTTTTTGTTTATTTTGAATTTGTGTTTTGTTTATTGCTTGATTTTGAATAACCAGGTTTGTTTTTCAATTAGTCATGGATGGACATTGTATGGAGTAGTGTAAATGTTTTGTTATTCGGTTAAATAGTTGTTGATTGAGTTTGAGTGTATTGATGTTCTATGGAATGATAGGTAGGGTACATGTTGGGCTACTTATCCTGATCATCATGTTTTGAATCATCTATTTGATATCATCTGATTGTTTGTATACTAAAAATTGAGTTTTGAGTTACTGTGTGGTGGTTCCGTACGTTGTTTCGTTCGAAAGGAAGATGTGTAATGGAAATTTGTGTTCTCCTAATGTGCATTGTGTTTTGTTATTCAGATCCATTCCATGAGGTGAAGAGAAGGAGGGATCGAAAGAAAGAGGTATTGTATTGCCTCTTGTATACTTTTAGTGATGGGTTATTTGATCGGGGTGACACAATTAAAGGGCTGTGGTTTTTTATGTGTAAATTTGATAGTTGATGATAAAATCTATTGTTGCAGAATCAAAATGTTGGGAACAGGGGATCGGGTGGTCAGCCAAGGAGGCATTCTGACAATGGTGGTCAAAGAGGCCAATTCCACAATCATTCGGAGCATAATGTTGGGAATAGGGGTTCGGCTGAATCCGAGAGGCATTCTGATAATGGTGGTCAAAGAGCCCAATTCCACAACCATGCTGAACATAATGTTGGGAATAGGGATTTGGGTGAATCGGAGAGGCATTCTAACAATGGTGGTCAAAAAGCCCAATTCCACAACAATGCGGAACATAATGTAGGGAGTAAGGGTCCGGGTGAACCGGAGAGGCGTTCTAACAATGGCGGTCAAAGAGCCCAATTTCACAACCATTTGGAACATAATGTTGGGAATAGGGGTTCGGGTGAACCGGAGAGGCATTCTGACAATGGTGGTCAAAGAGCGCAGTTCCGCAATCATTCGGAACATAATGCTGGGAACAGGGGTCAGCCAAGGAGGCATTCTGAAAATGGTGCTCAAAGAGGAGTGCAATTCAACAACCCCGCTGACCATATTGTTGGGAACAGGGAGTCTGGTGAACCAAAGAGGCATTCCGAGAATGGTGGTCAAGGAGTGCAATTGAACAACCCTTCGGAACATAACCTTGACAACAAGGGTTCCGGTGAACCAAGAAGGCAGCCTGAAAATGGTGGTCAAGGAATGCATTTCCATGAACATAGAGGTCGAAGGGCAAACTATTCTCGAAATCCTTTACCAAGTAATGTTCTTATTCTTATCTTGCATATATTTCACTGGTTTAAAGTGCTAGTTCCTCGGTGAAGACACTAAACTATGCTGCATTTTGGTTTTTCTTTGTTTTTGTGAATATGCTTGTCCTTCAACCACTGGTATTTGTGTTTCACTGCATTTGTCTTCTATTTATTTAAAGTTTAGAGAGATATACTGTTTGTTTTGTTAAGTTCACCGATCAATTTAACAATGATATTTTAGTCATCTATTTACTTCAAATGATTAATTTGTGATTTTCTATAGCATATATCCATTATTCTATGTTTTTGTTAGGAACATAGAGAAATTGAAATATAAGAAAAAAAGAAATAATAAAAGTTGAACAGAAAATGGAGAATATAGTAGTTCTTAACAGCCTTCATAAAGAATCTGCTCTTAACCTATTGAATTGGTGCACTAATAAAGTAGCTGTTCTTATATTTTATCGTAATAATAATGATATTCTGTCAATACATGCTCCCATAAAATCTACGCTCCATCGACAAAGCTATTCACATTGACCATCTCTTGCCATGCTTTTTCATCTTGAAATTTGTATTATCTCCCCATCCTCTGCTATTTGTCCAGCTTCTGCAAGATTATTCGAATGGTGCATTGGTGCAATGCACCGAATAGTGGCCACAGTGAAAACATTTCCTTTTTTATGTCTCAAGAATTTTTCTTGTTTGGAAACGGTTGAGCTCCTCTGGTTATCGGTCGGATGGTGTTAGCAGTGTTGGATTTTTGAGGTAGATTGAGTAACCCTGTAGCAGCTCCCTTTTCTTTGTGCCCTTCCTTACTTAAACATTAGGTTTGTCCAATTATGCTTTTGAATGACCTGAATGATGAAAGTTTGGCTAGGCGAGTGTTATTGTTTGGTGCTCACTAGTAATGCATTGCTCCCTCCACTCTGAATTCCAGTTTGACTTCAGTGGTTAGAGATTAGAATATAGCCAAGCGCTGTTTGGTTTTTCGGTTGGACCTACTTATTAGGAACCTAGTGAAACTGAAGTGATAGAAATATAGAAAGAATAAAAAGATAAGCGCACTATTTGAAATCAGATATAAAATGCAGAATATAATTCTCCTGAAGGGTTTAATGATTTACAAATAATCACTTTTTCACTCACAAAGTATCAAGTATACTTGATGAACATTTATGACTTTCCCATCCTAATGATATAACTTCGTTATAGTTGTATGTTTGTTGGCATTATTGTATGCGCTAATCTTTATTTATGCCAACTGTGCAGGCCTCAGCAGAGAGTTCCGTGTAGTCAGAGACAACCGGGTAACCCATATAAATAAAGATAAAGAAGTAAAGCCTCCTTCACAACAACATTCAACATCAACCACTGAGAAATTACCTGGAAACACTTCTGAAAAGGGGTATGCTCCAATCTTCAAATTTCCATATCTAGGTTCAGTAGTTGATTTATACAGATCCCTAACTTTATAACTGATAGAAACTGGTACCAAAGTACAAATTGATATTAATACCTGACCTTTATTTATGTAATAGATGTGACGTAAAGTAGACATAAGAATTACAAGTGAATCTAATGATATGAAAAGATAAAACTCTAATGAAAAATTCAACAATGTAATGATTCATATGTTTCCTTTGTTCCAGCTCGTCAGCAGCTTCTATTAATCAAAAGCCCTCTGGTGCTAGAAATCATCAGGCTGTAAACGGTCCTTCTGATTCACATACTAGGCAGTCAAAAGATGCCCCTAGGGCTACAAATGTCAGTGACAAAAAAATTACACCCGAGAACATTCAAGGCACGGTGTCAAATGCATCAGCACGGACGCAACCAATTAAGCCTAACAACATCCATCAAAATTCTTCAGCAACGGCTTCAACCAGTTCTGTAGTTGGAGTATATTCCTCTTCTACTGATCCAGTTCATGTGCCCTCCCCCGATTCCAGATCATCGGGAGCAATTAGGCGTGAAGTTGGGGTTGTTGGTGTTCGAAGACAGTCTTCTGATCACAAAGGGAAACAGTTGTTTCCTCCCAGTAGTTCTCATGCTAATAATTCTGTTGTTGGAAAAGATGGTACATCTTCAGATTCATTTCAATCCGCAGGCACTGTCCAAAAGACTGAACATCTTAGTCAAACTTCTGTAACTGAGCCCTCATTCCCTGGTATGTCTGTTAGCAGACCATCCTTGAACAATCCGCATAATAGTAGGCCACATCAACAAGTTGTCGGACATCAAAGAGGTAAATCTCTCTCTGAACTAACACCACCAAATTATTGTTTTAATCATACTCTCGATCCTAGAGATCTTTAGCAAAAGTATAGCGTAGAGCAACAGTTGTAGTTTACTTTTAAGACTGTTAGTCATTTTGTTTCATACCTTAAAGTTTGATGGGTTCTGCTGCAGTCTCCCACTCCCAGCATAATAAAGAGTGGAAGCCTAAATCAAGCCAGAAGACAAACAACAATGGTCCTGGAGTGATTGGAACACCCAAACTAACAATTTCATCTCCAGCGGAAAATTCTAAAGTTATAGAATCGGATACAACACAACTTCAGGGTACACTTTCACAATTGAATGTATACGAGAACCAAAATGTGATCATAGCACAGCATATTCGTGTCCCAGAGACTGATCGCCGCCGGCTGACCTTTGGTACTGTCGGGGTTGCAACAGAACTTGACTCTTTGATGCTTCAACCTCAGTTTCAAGTAATAGGAGCTACTGAGAAGTCAACTGGAGAATTGACTACAAGGTTGACTTTCATTTAGTGTAGAGAATATTTCTTCAGATATTCCGTCATAAATAGTCTCTACTAACTAAAGACATTTTAGTTGTTAATATGCATTTTGTAGAGATAATCTTATTTATCTTTTAATGTCAGCTTGACTGCCCCCGCGTCAGAGTCATCCACCGATGATGTTTCTGGGAGCAAGCAGGTGAATTTAAGTGATGACCATGTTAGAAGTTCTGAGTCCGAATCTCCAGCCTCTGGTGTTGCTTCTGAGCAACAGTTGCCTGATAACAAAGAATCCTCAAGCTCTCAGAATCTAGACAACTATGCCAATGTTGGATTAGTACATGATACAAGTCCGTCCTATGCACCGTCACAGTCACGGCAGCAAGATTCTCACGATATGCCTGGCTTTTCAGTAAGTGAATATTGCTTTTATTTATTTTTACCTTTGAAATATTGAGTGACACTTGCTACGTGTGTTTGTTTTGCATTTTATTGGCTATTTGTTCTCATGTTTATGTTTTCAAACAGGCTTACGACCCTCCCACTGGTTACGATATTCCTTATTTTAGACCTAACATGGATGAAACTGTACGCGCACAGGTTCTTTCACCACATCAGGAGGTATATAATATAATTAATATAAATAATACATACATAATATAATTGATATATATTAATAATGACTTAATAATTAGGCAGTGTTTTTGTTGGTTTTTCGTCACTACCTAGTTTGATTCTTACTTCATTTTAACATACTATGGCCAATGCAGGTTTTGAACTCCCATGCTGCAAACAATGTTCCCACATCCACGATTGCCATGGTGCAACAACAGCAACAACAACATCAAGTTGCACAGATGTATCCTCAAGTTCATCTTTCACATTATGCTAATCTTATGCCCTATCGTCAATTTCTATCTCCAGTCTATGTACCACCCATGGCTGTGCCGGGATACTCAAACAGTGCTCCCTATCCTCATCCTACGAATGGAAACAGTTATGTATTGATGCCGGGAGGCGGTTCCCATCTTAATGCCAATAACCTTAAATACGGAGTTCAACAGTTCAAGCCTGTTCCTGCTGGAAATCCTACAGGGTTTGGAAACTTTGCTAACCCAGCTGGGTATGCCATGTTAGCTCCTGGCGTGGTTGGTGGTGCGTCGGGTCTAGATGATTCATCTCGAGTCAAGTACAAAGATAATCTCTATGTCCCAAATCCTCAGGTATTTTACATGTCCTTAAGTTATTTTCATATGCTATTATCCGAACAATATAGATTACGTCATTTTATATTTTCTTCCAATTCATAGGGGGAGACATCAGAAGTATGGTTACAAAATCCAAGGGATCTTTCAGGCATGCAATCAACTCAATACTATAACTTGCCAGGACAATCACCACATGCGGCTCCATTCATGCCATCCCACACCGGTCACGCTAACTTCAATGCAGCTGCAGCTCAGTCATCTCACATGCAGTTCCCTGGTATGTATCATACACCTCCACAACAAGCTGCAATGGCGAATCCTCATCATTTAGGACCAGCAATGGGAAACAATGTCGGAGTTGCTGCAGCTGCTCCTGGAGGAGCACAGGTTGGTGCATATCAGCAACCTCAACTGGGTCACCTCAACTGGACAACAAATTTCTAAATGTTTAGAAAGTAAAAATGAAGCCGGGTTTTAACCATGTGTACTAGGGAAGGGACTGCAGTAGTAGATATAGAAAAATCGCAGTGAATTGAATATTTATATTGTTTTTTTTTATTCTTCTTTTTAACAAATGCATTGAGCAATCAAGTTTTCAGGTTTGGGAGTTATTGAGTTTTGACTGAAGAAAGTCAAGAACAGTAACATTTAACTTAAATTTAGTTAATTTCTTTGCTAACATCATTGGGGGATCACCTAGAGACTTAGTTTTAAAGTCATTAATCAAATATGATAAGTGGATTCTCTTACTCTTCCTTAAGGTAAGAAAACTATAGACTGTAAATGAGTCTTTAAGACCAAATTTAATTATGATGGAACTATAGAAAGATATAAAGCACATTCAAACAAATCCATGGTATTGATTTCTTTAACATATTCTTAGTTCTATTGGGCCTGTTCTATTGGGCTTAGCTCTCATTCTCTTTTGTAATGTATCATTTTGTTAAAAAGAAAACTAAGCCTACAACATTGTACATCTCCATCACATTCCTTCCTTTTTCTAAAGCAAAGAAAGAATAAAAAAACAGAAATCGATTCCACATTTAAATTTCTTAGCTGAAAACAAAAAGAGAGTGTAGCTAGCTATAGATAGATTCACTTTAAATTTGTATTATATATGTATAAATCAGTACATTCCTTGGGATTGATGTACTCTTTTTCTTTTGATCGATCAAATTCTGAATTTTCATGTTCATTCCAACCCTACTTATAGGGTCACATACCCTTCTCTTTATATTGCTTTAGACCTTCTTTGTTATCTTAAAGGACTAGTGCACGTTCAACTACTAGTACTCACTCTTCTAATAAGTGCCTAGGTTCTTCCAGGGTGTTCCCTATACTTAGCCTTTTATTTTTCTCTTTTCAATTGTACCTCAAAGAATCTCTTAATAGAACTCATCATCATCATAACACTAATCACAATGTTAACAGCTTTATACACTAATGTGTATAGATTAAGTTATATGATATTTTTTAAGGACGCAATTTAACATTTATTATTTTGGTTCCGAACCGATACAACAGTGAAACTGTCTAGTTTAATTTGAGTTAATTTGATTTTACCATTACTATCAACATCTCTAGCTATAGCCTTCAAGTCCACAAGTACTATTAAACAATATATTTAAGATAGTTTAAGGCTAATCTAGTGCTGATTAATATAGTTATTCAATTATGAAATTGGAAGAAACATTTTGAAGTATGCTTTATGAGGTTGAAATTGACAATACCTCACATTCCATAGAATAGGGTTCTCCTAGCTAGTGTAATCATACTACTCTTTAATTTATTCATAGCCTCTCTTTCTCTTCATAATAATCAGCAACTAATTATGAGCCTTTGTTTCATAAACATGTCTTAAGTGATTTATTTTAGTTAAGTAAATTTTTATATCTAAAATATGACCTAAATACTATGCCTACAGAAAAGTTTTATTGCTCTAATTAATTTTTTATTTATAAAAATCGAATATTCTTTACGCGCAACTGTACGAAGACGATTCTAATAGATAAAAAAAAAATTCATAATTTAGAAAAAAAAGGGATACATATGGAAGCATGAAAGTTGGAATGATTTAGAATGATTTAATATGAAAAATCGTGCAACAATAGTTAAATGGTAGAAAGAAGAGGAAGTGATAGTTGAAATTGAATGGAGGAAAATATCAAAATGGGCCAAAGCAATATATTTTGTTTTGATTGAATTAGCAAAGGTTGTGTTTGTGGGGGTGACCCACGATTTGAAACCAAGTTTGAGAAATGATGGAGGCATGTCAATTGAATACCAACCCAACCTTTGCAAAGTGTTTTTCTAGTGTGGAGAGGTGTCACTTGAGGTTGATCGATCTATCTCTTTCTTTCCTTTTTTTTTTTCAAAAAAGGAAAAAGTTTATTATTCCAATTTCACATATCCTTCTTTTTTGTGGAAACCACTATATTATATTAGTAAAGAAATATTCACAACACATTCTTTAATATAAATGAAATATATTTTTACTTTGAATTCTAGGTTTCATTAAAGTTGAGTTAGATATAATTTAAAATTTTAAGATTTTATATCTATTTAGAATTTTTTAAGAGAGTGATAAATATATTGAGTGATTTATCAAGCTCTTTAATAAAATTATGAAGTCAAAATAAATGTCAAATGAATTGAGAAGAAACATTTTAGTTACAATCTATAGAAATAAATGGGATATACAAAATTGGACAAATTATAAGAGATTTAAAGTATGAATCAAACGACAAAGTTACGAAAAAAAAGTGATTCAATGACTAAGAAAATAAACTCAAGTCACTGATAATCAATTTTGGTTTTATTCTTGGAAGGAGGACCATGAAAGCGATATATTTACTACGTCATATGATGAACCAGTATCGAATGAACCAATAAGACTAGCACTTAAATTTTATTGATTTGGCAAAGGCATATTATAGAGTGCCTAGAGAGATTTTGTAAAAAACCCTAGAGAAGAAAGAGGTTATGATTGCATATATTCAAACTATCTAAGATATGCATGAAGCGATATTGTCTAGTTTGAAGATACATGGTGAAGAGACAAACAATTTCTCCATTACAACAGGTTTACGCCAAAGTTCAACATTTAATTCCTACATTTTCCCTTAATTTTGGATGTACTCGTGGAACACATCCCAGAGTTAACAGTGAGAGACATACTTTTTGCAGATGATGTAGTCATACTTAGAGAGTTGAATGAAGATTTATATGAGAAGTTGAAAACTTGGCGACAAATTTTAGAAACACATGGATTTCTCCTAAGTTGAAGTAATACGAAATATATGGAATGCAAGTTTAATAAAAGATGAAGTGTTTCTAACATAGAGGAGAAAATTGGAGACCATATCATCCCTCAAGTCACACAATTTAAATATCTTGAGTTTGTAATACAAAATAATGGAATAAAAAGTGATGTAACCCATCAAATTAAAGCTGAGTGGCTGAAATAAAGAAGAGCTTAAAGGCTTTATGTGACAAAAAGGTACTGCTCAAGCTAAAGGAAAATTTTAATAGACTGTAGTAAGACCTAGAATGTTGTACGGGATAAAATGTTGGACGGTTAAGAATCAACACGAGAATAAAGTAAGTGTAGTAGAGATGACAATGTTACGTTAGATGTGTGGTAAGACTAGATAGGATAAAATTAGAAATAAAAATATTAGAGAGAGTGTTAGGGTAACACCTATTGAAGAGAAGACCTGTAGATTTTTCGTTAAGAACAGTAAATTAGATGGGGAGAAGTTAAACAACTAGAGGATGAGAAAGACCCTAGAAAAATTATAAGAGAAATTATTAAAAAAGATCTCAAGATTAATAATTTAGATATAAGTATGATTCTAGATGAAACATTATGACAAAAGTTGATCTATGTTGCTGAATCTACTTAATAGGATAAGACTTGATTGCTGTTGTATTTACTACCATATCATTGTTATCTAATCAATCGAATAACCACAAATCTACTATTGGAGAAACGATGAGCATGTTAAAAGTTTTGTACTAGAGAAAATATAACACAAACATGTGTTTATAAGCGGTGAGTAGTTCTCATCTTATAAGTGATTTTAGGAGCAACGAGTTAAATCCAATATGAAAATCTATTATTTAGACTTTGCAAAATGGTGATTTTAACACTTATAAAATCACATGCTTATATTATTTAATTTAACGTAATACTCATAACACACCTCAAAATGTCTAAGACTTTGTGACCCACATGGTGGGATAGTGAAATAATTGATATAGGATGATCTAACGTATCTTAGGTAGATTCTAATACAATTTTAGAATTATATTATGTTGTACCTAACTCAATTTTATAAAATCGTTTTTCATGTTTTATTTGTGTAAATTGAAACTCTTAATACGTTCTCTTGATTGAATACACGAGACATAATCTAAACGACTTGATAACAAGATACTTGATAGCAGGATATGCTCGTATGCCATCTTAAAATTTAAATTGAGATTAAATCAACTCTTTCAAAATTGGATTCATAAGGTGAAGATTATATTAACTTATAACGTTATCTTATATTTAATCTTATTTAGTGTAAAACTCTTTAAGTATAAATCTTATGATATTTTTTTTTATATTTAATCTTATTTAGTGTAAAACTCTTTAAGTATAAATCTTATGATATTTTTTTTGTGAAAATAATATCCACCCTTAGAATCGGTTAATTCAGAAGATCAATCTTACAATCCATTTGCTAAATTTCATTTAAAGATACAACAAAACTTTGTGTAGATTGAATGAAAAAAACAAAAATTGTTACCATGTAGCAGAATTAAAACCTAAAATCTTAATAGGAACACAATGTTTTACAAGATTTGGTTGATTAGAGTTCTAAATTAATGGCACTCATTTAAATGTTTTATAAAAAACCTTATTTAAATTTCAATAAATAAATAAAAATATAAAAGGAGTGTGTTAAATAGAGTGTTAACACTCCACTCCTTTCCTCGGTCTGTATGTCTGAGTGGTAGACAAGAAATGGTTCACTATCTTAGCATGATTGTACATAGCAAGTCTAGTAACTCATTCCCATGTGTGCATGTTCTTCTATTTTTAGCAATTTTGTTTTGGGTATCAAACTTATATTTTACAAGTTTAGTCACCTAATTAAATCTTACAAGTGTATCTTTTATGCTTCATATCAATACTCGACAATTACCATCCAACGAGGGCAAATTAACAGTTCATACCTTTGAAATATATATTTCTCTTTGTAAAGACAGTGATGAAGAACAAAATTCATTTGAAAATATTTTCTGTTGCTCGTTCTATTTAAATGACCACACTATTCTTTCTTAATATATAATTTTAAATTTATACGTTGGTTTTTTTGTCATTTCATATAATTTATTTTATACAAAGTGTGCGTGTTGCCCATTCAAAAATAATACTTAAGAGACCTTAGTAG